GATCTCCTAAAGTAACCTCTGTAGCATATATTAACTTTTCCTATTTTATTCCCTCAAGGGAAAAGCTGACACTAATTGGTTAGTTTCCTACATTTCAAAAGTTGCTGACATATTTCTCAAAATGGGTTCCTGATCCCATGGGATTTCTATGAGTTACAGTTAGAAAAGAAGAAAATGATGTGGTCAAAATGCCCTGAATGAAGCATTGGGAGGGGTTTATCCAGCAATTGTAAAGAGGAACAGTCATATTGTTAACCAATTCCACCAGCTGATCACCTCTGGAAATGATTTAGCGCATTAAAGTTAACTATAAGACATTGTGTGCATGTGCGTGTACGCATGCATAGACTAACTATGAGCTTCAATTTAAAAGTCACAAATAAAATTAACTTGTTAACTTAGATTTATGACTTACACAAATATTAGAAAACATCAAAAGGCTACCAGCTTTTAATTTTGTAGTATTAAGGCATTACCCAGCTGAGTGGCGATGGGGATGAAGTAATTTAAGTTCTCTAGACCCAGTTCTCATGAGCTGGTAGGACAAGGAAGTCACTTCTAAAATTTAACTACTAACAAGGATAGAATTGATCCCCCCTCTTCACAGGCTCCTTAGGTTTCTTTTGTAGTCTTTCATCAACTTAATTAGGGTTCTACAGCCTGACATTCCATGTAGAAGTAAAATGGGTCCAAATTTCAAATGCAGTAGTGAAACCCTCACAAAAAAAGATAAACCGAAAGCAAGCCAAAGATGTTTTTTTCCTGAATACGTCTATTTGCTCCGGTGAAAGGTACGGCTGACACACTGTGTGAATGGAAAGAAAGGACCCAAAATTTCATAATTGCAACCCATTATTTTAACCCAGAAAATATTAAATTGGGTATAAGGCATTAAAGAAACAGTATTACTTCCCCTTGACTCCATGCTTATAAGAAAAGATTCTTTGATTTGTACTTTCTTCTCAATTGGCATCGGGGCTGATTAATTAGGCCAGGTCATTTATTGAGTATCTGCCACATTATGAAAAGTTAAGATTCTAAAGGATTGAAAGGGAAGTATATAGGACTGTGTCTCACTTATAATCTCATTGATAATGTATGGAAACAGAAGATACTGCCTGCTTACATACTCACTAAATGTTTATGAAATAGAAGACTAAGAAAACTAATTGAATGTTGTATACAACTTTATTGTTGTTTCTCACAATTTAAGTTTAATGTCCTGATCTAATCAAGCACACTGAAGAAGTACGTTGGAATTTCCGTAGTATGCACAGATTTCATATCCTGCATACTTATTGCTAGAACTACTCTTAGCAAATACTTCTATTTGCTAAAGTTTTAAACATATAATCTTTAAATTTTCATATTAGACACATTAAAAGTATTTGAAAATTACATGATTTTGCCAGACAGATCTTAGGAAAACTTTGGGCTTTCATTGCCCTATTTCATTGAAGCCTACAAGTTCAAGTCCCACTTATGGCCTCCTTCTATGGGATCTTACATAAAATTTCCATAGTTTATAGGATGTGATGCTGGCCCGGCTGAATGAACCAGGGCCTGGAGCCCAATTCAAAGGCAGAGAGCTGTGAGCCAGCCATGAGCCTCCAAGGCGAGGTGCCCTGGTGTGCAATTCTCACTAATGCATTGGGTGAGACAACCCAACCATCCACTCTACCTAGGGAAGTGTAACTGGGAGACATTCAGAGAGAACCTAGAGGCCAGAGAGCGACATAGAAACAGAGAGGTATAAACACACAGGAGAAAGGGCCATGAAGCAGTAGAAGCCATGAGAAAAAAGAGGAGAAAGGAAGGCGAAAAAAGTTAAGAGGCGGCTGAGGCAGAGATGATGTTGCCACTTGGATGGTTCCCCAGTGGAACTGTGTTAGGCCTGTACAGCTGTTATAGAACGATCAACAATGCTGCTGAGTCCTGAATGTTGATGAATCATCTTCCCTTTTCCTCTTTGCCTGCTGAGACTGTTTGCTTACTTCTCCATGTGTACTTGTAGAAAAGTTTCTCATTTACTGAGGAGTAATGGTAAGAGTGGATCACAGGCGAACACATCTGAGAAACTGGGTTCATATCTGAGCTCTGCGATCGTCAGTGTGACTCTAAGTGAGGCAATTAATCTCTCTGAGCCCACTTTCTGCATGTGAATAAAAACACCTCATTGGTTGTGGTGATGATTACATAAAACAATGCATGTAAAGAGCTTAGCACGTTGCCCGACACACAGTAAGTGCTCAATGCATTTTAGGCATTATAGTTACTTTTATTAAAAACCTAAGAATGTCTGTGATCTTTGCAATCTAAAAGAGCTTCATAAGTTTTCCTAGCATAACACATAAATACAAGGGACAAATATATGTGAAACCAGGCAAATCTATATCATACACAAGCTCTTTATCAATATATACATTTAAAAAATATACAGAACTATTTGGTATCCAAAAGATGGAGGAAGAAAGGCAGAGTAGAAGGGTCCACTCCAGGGGTAAGGCAATGGGGGGTGATCTTTCGTTCTGGAAGTTCATACACTGGCTTTCATAAAATCTTAGTTGTGCCAAGGTACTACTGTGTAGGGGGTGTTTGTTCAAGGGATTTGAGGTTGATCTGGGAAAAAGACAGGACCACAGAGGCAGTTAACACACAACAAGCTTTAATGAGTAGTGCTTTGTACAGGGTTGCATGCGAGGGCATCCAGAGGCATACGGTGAGCAGGTCGCCATGCAGAAGGGGAGGAGGGCGAAGGAACTCCCAAGGGAGAGATGCATTAGAATGAGGGCTTAGGACTAAGTGATGTCACTTCACAGCATGGTGGAGTATCTCTATGTCAGAGAACTTTGAAGGGCAGTAGCAGCTCAGTGTCTTAAAACCACAAAGCTCTATCTTATCAACGGCCAACAGATGCTAGGTAAGGTTTCACAGAATGTGTAAGGCAGGGTCTAAGTAGCTAAAAATCTGCTTGTTTGGGCTATTTTAAAAATAATTCGATGTATAAAAATTAGTTTGGTGTTGGTGGGCTCTTGAGTTAATGAATCTCAGCCTGCAGTGAGGAAATAACCTAGAGACCAACAGACAGAGGCCATCTTTGGCTCATTTATATAA